TTCTCTTCATCCACATTTTGCCTCAGGGCTTTTTAGATTTCCTTTATTTGTACGTCTTACTCCAAGTCTGTCAGGCTGGCGCTTGCCTCGCTGGTCTCATCCTCTTCTCCCTTCTCTCCACAAGTCTAGGTTCCTCCTCCTGTTATCTCTGCCCACCAGCCCCGCCTATCCCTCCACTGCCGAGCTATTGGTTGTTCTGCTTTGCAGCAGATCAATCAAGTGCCTTCCGCAGGCAAGGTAAAACGGCAACATATCTTTACATAATTAAATAAATACAACATAAACAAATGGAACATGTCTTTTCTTTCTTTGTTTTTCAAAGACAGGGTTTTCCCGTTTAACAGTTCTAGCTGTCCTAGAACTAGCTCTTATAGCCCAGGCTGGCCTCAAACTCCGCCTGCCTCTGCCTCCTGAGTGCTGGGATTAAAGGTGTGCGCCACCAGTGCCCGGCTACATTTTTTTTCACAGTTAAAGTAATATCCTGCAACAGTTTTCTACCGTTTCCGACAGAGCTCTTGCCAAAGGACACTGAAGTGATTTGACCCATTCTCCACTGCACCTTTACCTCAACGCCGTCTTCACTCTAAGAGCAAGAAACTGAGGCCCAGAAAGCACACACAAACTAGAACTGACGAAAGAGAATTCGAGCCTAAGAAGCCCGAGCAGCCCTGCTTTGCTCCCCTGCAGCCGCAGCCCAAAGGATCCTAAATACACATGCTTAAAACCGGGCACAATCTGAGACGTAGCCGAATGGGTCATGTCCACAGCCTGCTCTACACAGCATCCCATATCCCTCTCCTTCACCGCCCACACCTTCAGGCCTTCAATTCCTCCTTCACACACCACACACTCGGCTCATAGGCTTCAAGACATCATCGGTTCCATGCCGTCTGCTAGTGGTCATACCTGGCACTTACTGTACCTGCTGGATACAATGTGTTCATCACCTGCACCTTGGGGACTTTCCTGGCTAGAAACAAGCCAAGCTAAGGCTGGACACTCATAAAAAAGATTAAGTCTCCATGTGTGTTGAGAACTGCGTGGCGGGCCCCCCAAAAAAGTGAAAGCATAAAAGCAGTCAACATTTTGGCGCTCCAACAAGGGGCTAGAACAAAAGAAAATCCAGCAACACATGCCTAGGGTAGAGAGTCATGTACCAAACAGTACAGGTATTGGCTTCCCAGGCTGACAAAGGAGGGGGGGTGTAAGGAGGTGGGGGGCGCTGAATCCTGCTCTAAGTGCCTCTCCCCTCTACTGGGGAACAGATGGAAAGGCAAGCAGCCTTTGGGCACAGATGCCTTCCCTGGAATGTCCAGCAGGAGTGCTCTCAGCCAGGCTTCCCAAAGAACCATCCCTGCTTCTCCCCATCCTTGGAAATGCAGGGCTTGAGCTGAGAACCACGCAGGGTGGCTCCTTGCCTGACATGAGGCAAAGAAACCAAAGGACTGCTCCCACCCCAAGGTGGACGCCAGTCGGAGTAATGAGGGGTATCATTCTCTCTCCATTCCAGGGATGGGAAGAGAGACTCTGTGCTCCCCTAGGAAAGACTCTCGCTCAAGAACAGCTACCCACGAGCCATCATTCCGCCACTGCAATGGCAGATACACCTCCACATGCCATTCAACACTGTGGGGACAGCTCTAAGTTTCCGAGTGGCCAAGTTACCCTCCTAGCTGGATTACTGCTGTACAAGCCTAGAGACCTGAGTGTTCAGTCTCCGGAACCCATGTAAAAAGAAGGAAGAACTGATTGCATAAAGTTGTCCTCTGACCACTACATGTACGCTGTGACACATGAACCTGTAAAAATAACAACAACAAAGCCAACACAATCAGCAACGGATATGTAACTTTTATTGTGCAACTGCTCTGTGAAACAGCAGGGGGCGTTCAGCTGTCCCTCTAATAGACATGCAGCCATGGGAATCACTGTCCTGAACCAGGCTAATTGCATCAGCTGCACAATGCCGGTCACAGGTATACGATGGCCTTTAGTGGAGAGGAAGGCAGGAGCCAGCTGCAGCTTCATGTCAGGATGCCAAGCATACCTGTCCAGGCTGTCTTCAGCAAAGCACACTTCTGACTACATCTCTCAGGTGCCAATGCTGTCACCACAAGGTCACCTGCTCCAGGTCAGGCCAGCCCTCCAGGCCTCCACTCTGGGTGCCCATTCCCTGCTCCATGAGAGCCACATCTAGGATTACTCTTGCTTGTTCAAATTTCCTGACCTCACGAAACACCTATACTTGGAAGGTGGGCCATCTTAAGTGGGCCAAATTAATGTTACCATTATTCTCATAAGAGGGAGAATAACAGACAAGAAGGTGCAGGAAGAGGAAAACAGAGACCTCGCTGCAGACAAGGACACCAAAGGCTTTGGCAGCCACCAGAAGCTGAGGAGGAAAGGGGCAGCTGCCTCCCTCAGGACTGTAGGAAGGCAGGTGGACAGCCACTCCTTCACACCTTGACAAGTGAATTACAGCCTGTTGTCTAGGGAAATCGCGGGCCACTAATACATCCACTTAGGCAGAACCGTGTGTAAATTCTGCAGGGCGTACTAGCTGCACCCAAGTCCTAGGCAAAACGAGGGCCCAGCAAGGAATACCTCAGTCACATTCTAACTCACACTACACGAACTATTAATACCTCAGAGTACTACAGTGCCCTTGTGACTGTCAAGAAAAGATTAGGAGGATACATTTGTGTGGGACCTTGAAGGTTGAGGGAGTCCTGTCACTCCGAGAACAAGCTGTTTCTTCCCTAGCTTCCACCAGCCTCTCAGGAAACCCTGGCTCTCCCCAGGGATCTCAGCGTGGACAGGCTAGCACACGCTGACTGTGCATAGAGTTCAGGCATTTGTGAACGCCAGACAAGAGTTCTCCCACTAAGCTATATCCCTCGCTCTTGGCTTTGATACAGAGTCTTGCTAGCTAGCTTGGGCTACCCTTGAACTTGTCATGTAGCTCAGGCTGTCCTAAACGCTCCATCTTCCAGTCTTTGCTTCAGAAGGTGATCAGTGGTACATCATCAAACGAGGTGGAAGTACCCATGTGAAGTACATATGACGCATTCTCCTTAAGCCTTCCTACGTCCTCAGTAAGGGATGCAGAGAGGCAGCAAGGGATGGTTGGCCCTACCAGGTCAAGCACCTTGACGGGATAAAGTGAAGATCCGCTTCCAAAGCTGTACAGGGTGTTTCTGCCCTGGACTAAGGTCAGTAAATTTCCTCTCTCTGCAATCTGATGTTTGCGGTGGTGCTCCAACACACTTTAGCCTAGAGAACCCGAGGAGCTTTGACGAGCAGGTGTGACTACAAAATCATGGGTAAATGCTGAAGCCGATGGTGGCTTTGAGAACGGTCTCTCTCAAGCTCCAATAGCCAGAGTGCCGGGATACTGTCGGGTCTTCCAATGTAGTGGCCATCAACCAGGGCTCCCAACCCATGGCCACAGGGGACGGCAGCTCCTGGAGCTACCACGGAAGGAGTTCAATAGTTCCCACTTAGCCTCTCCAGTTTCCTTCACCAAGTCACGTTGCTACTTTAAAAGCGATAAAAATCTACAAAACTGGGCTCAGTACCTGGAACGCCATGGCACCCCACGGTTTTCACAGCCAATGAAAAACCCACACTTGAAAACCTGCTCAAGGCTGGCTAGGACCTGCCAATTTCCAATCATTATATTCCTAAGGAGCAGGCCAGCAAGGGGACTCTGGGAAACAGGTGACAAGCTCAGGAAATCCCAAGACCCTAGGGTCATGAAGGACTAAAAAACTGGCTCAAGGGAATTCAGAAATCTTATGTAGAAGGAACCCGAATTGAGAAAAGCCAGAGCTTACAACTGCGTTCAGAAAGGAAAGACAACCAGTAAAAAGCTGAAGTGCCCAAGGCAAAACTTAAAAGCTTTTGTTAAAGAAGTCCCCAAACCCGTGCAAGCCCCTTCTCTGTTAAAACAGTAGCCCGAACTAAAGGATGTGCCCGAGGCTGTAGGATGAACCTCCGTTGTCTGAAGTCTGCGCTCAGGCGGCTGGGCTCGCGGTTGCTCAGTGACCCGAGCGGGGGCGGGGCTGCGCTGGCCGCAGGTCCACCGCGTGCAGCGAGCTCGGGACATTGCTGCGGGCCGTGGGGATGACACGCACACTCTGAATGTATCCCTTTGTGCCGGGCACCGCAGCACCTCACGACAGCGGCCAGCTCGCCCCAGCAGCACGCCTCCAGGCTGCCCGCGCCCCCTTCTCCACTCGCCAAGCTGCGCGCAAAGGCGCGCGACCGTCGCCACCAAGGCTGTCAGCAGAGCGCGACGAGCCCCCGCCCCGGCTGGAGGAGCTGCGGGCCCCGGCTTCCCGCACTGCTGCGTCCGCTGCCAGGGGCGCTAAGGACACCGCGCGACGCGCTCCGGGGGGCTTCACTCCCTGCGGCCGCCGGGCCTCCGCTGCCAGCGCCTCCGGCAAAGTTGGCGCAGGCTCTCGTGGGGGCGTGCGGGGCCGCCGTCAGGGCTCCGGTACCCGGGCTGTGCCTCGGCTTTGTTCGCGCCCCGTGCCCACCCTTTCACTCCGCACCCCCGCGGCCCTGCCCACCTTCTGGATGGTCTGTTGTGTAACCTCCCCTTTGCCTCTCGGCCGCGCCGACGCGAAGGCCACGGACATGGTGGCGGCGCGGACTCAGTCCGTGATCATTGGGGTTTATTCTCCGGCTGCGCCCCGCGGCCCGAGGTGCCCATTCTCCGCAGAGCGGGGGCGGGGGCGCAGGGGGTGCCGTACCGTGGGCTCGCCCGCCTGCCTGCCGCCAATGCGTGCCCGGGCCTCCCGCGTCCCCGCGCCTTAAGCCACGGCCTTCCGGGACCGGACCCCGCACGGAGTCCCCCGTTGCGCGGCCCACGCTCTGCGTCCAACCTGCCGCCCCCGCGCCGCCCCCTGCGCTGGGCTTCGGTGGTTCCGCCCGCCCCGCCCCGCCCCGTCGCGCCGCACGTCCCCCCCCCCCCCCTCCCTGACGCCGGACGCTGCGGACGCCGGCAGCGTGTCCCGGGCGGGCGGGGCGCAGGCGGTGAGTGTGCGCTTTTGAGCGGCGGCGGCCCGAGCTCGCGCGTCCGCCGGGATGAGCTACGACCGCGCCATCACCGTCTTTTCGCCCGACGGCCACCTCTTCCAAGTGGAGTACGCGCAGGAGGCTGTCAAGAAGGGCTCCACCGCGGTGAGCCGGCCCGGGCGAGGCCTGCGCGCGGCAGGGCGCACGGGGAAGCAGGGCATGCAGCCCTAGGCGCGGGGGCCGGGGGTTCTGCTTTCGGCGGGTGGCCCGGGAGGTGACGGGAGCTGAATGATGGCCACCTAGGAAGGGAGCCGGGCCGCGGGGCCTGCGCCGCGCTCCCTGGAGAGCCGGGGGCTGCAGCTGCCAGGCTTCCCCGCTGCAGGGCGTCTGGGCGAGCGCATCCCCGCCACTGGGCCGGGGCCATCTTGGTGCTATTGGCGCGGCTCGGGCCGCGGAGGCCGCAGGTGCGCGCGGGCGTAGGAGGCTGGCCGTGAGTCGGCACCCGCAGGGACTTGGGATCTCCCAAGTTAGGCCCAGATGGGCGTTGTGAACAAAGGGCGGCTCGTCGTCCCTGCGTCGGTGACAGGCTGCTTCCGGGTTTGTCTGCTCCACCGACGCTGTGTTCTGGTTCCGGTGGACCTTTCTCCCCGCGCCCCAGTTTTTGTTCCTTAGCACCATTTGTCCCCCGTCCCCCCCCCCCCCCTCCGACACATGCAAGCATCAACCGTGAGGCGGTTTTGTTTTTTGTTTTACCCGAGTCACCGGGTCTTTGGGGAAACACACGTGGTTGGTTCTGAGTCTTGCAGCGCCTATATTTTTCAAGTATTTAAACTTTGAAACTTAAGCCTCAAATCTTTCGGTGACCTAACCCATCTAAAAAAACTATAGTGTGAGCAGGTTTGGAGGGGTAGGCCTGTAATCCTGGCATTTAGAGGTTGAGGCTCGAAAATCTTACAAGTTCAAGGCCAGCCTGGGCCTATAAGTGAGAGAACCCTCTTACACCGTCTCTTCCTCTCTCTGTGTATGTATGCTTTTTTTTAATAACTTATTTTTACTTTATGTGCATTGGTGTTTCGCCTTCATGTATTTCTCTGTGAGGGTGTCAGATTCACTAGAACTGGAGTTGCAGGTATTTGTGCGCTGCCATGTGGGTGCTGGGAATTGAACCCTGGTCCTCTGGAAGAGCATCCAGTGCTTTTAACCGCTGAGCCATCTCTCCAGTCCTAGTGGGGAAAATAACAACCAGTGAGACAGCCGACCAGGTTGCTAAAGCGCCAGCTTTGCCAGCCAGAATACCTGGTCTTGTCGTGTCTGTCCCGTGTCTGTCCGTGTCTCCCCCTCGTCCACGCCCCCCCCCCCTTGTGGGGTAATTTGATCAATCTGTGACACTCCAAACTGTCAAAGTTTACCTTGAATTTGGGGGCAGAGCCCCTGACTAGCAGAAGGGAATTAGCCATAGAGAAACCAGCAATTTTGATAGACCTACAGGAAGGAAAGGGCAGGGCTAGAGTTTGAGCTGCTTTTTGGTTCTGGGCTCTTGAGGTGTCTTGTCTCCACACAAAAACCAAAGGTCAGCTAGTTGATACTCAGCCTCTCTGAGCTGTCAGGCTTTCACCCCAGTCTTTGGTTCTCGGGTCTGATTGATAAATAGAACGATAATTAATTTAAATCTACACATGGCAGCTGCCGCCGAAGCCCAGTCTGGAGGGGCTGACCGGGCACATAATGCAGGCAGTGGGGCCGCGGACAGTAATTAAAATATCAGATTCCTGTGCAGTCACTAAGCCAACAGAGAAACAGCATTTGGTGCCCCACAAATGCAGCAGTACTTTCCCATCAGGACCCCTAACCCATAATAATGACATGGAGACTTAATTATGAAAGCTTGGCCTTAACTTAGGCTTGTTCCCAGCTAGGTCTTATAACTTAACCTATTTTTTTTAAAAATCTATATTCTGCCATATGACTTGGTTACTTCCTAGTACTGTACAAAAATCACATGTGCCTAGATTCCTGCTCCCAGTTTCTCTCTCTCTCTCTCTCTCTCTCTCTCTCTCTCTCTCTCTGCCCAGAAGTCCCGCCTATTCTCTCCTGCTTAGCTGTTGGCCATTTAGCTCTTCATTAAACCAGTCAGTATCTTTACAGTGTAAACACATATTCTGCAACACCCATCTGTTTATTTTGTTTTGTTTTTTAAGTTAGCTTCACAGAATGACATCCCTGGCATCCCATTTCCTAGGAGACAGAGACCGGAGGATACGCTGGGTTTGCTGGTCAGCAAGTATAGCAGAGTCTGCCAGGTTCAGTGAGACTGATTCTGTCTCAAACATACATTGGAGCAGCTGGGGAGATCGTCCAGCAGTTAAAGAGTGCGAGCAGTTTAGTTTTCAGCACCCAGGTGGTCAGTCTCAAAACTGCCTTTCATTTCTGCCCCAGGGGATTAAGCACCTCTGGCTTTATGCACACTCGGGGACACACAAAACCATAGGAAAGAAAGCTTTGTAATCTGGAGGTGCCTGTCCCCAGTTCCCCCAACTGGAGCTGTCGTTGTACCCAGTTAGCTTCTCAGAACCCAGAAGCACAGAAGAAACTTGTAAAATCACTCCAGACCAGGGCTGGTGTGGACTGAGCTTTTCTCCCTTGGTAGAACCTTGCAGAAGGTTCCTGCAGCTGGGGGAGTGGAACTGGGTTGCTGCCACCTAGTTGTGCCCTCTGCGCTCAGCTGCCTTGTTGAGGGATTGCTCCATGTTTCGTTCTCTCGGGCCTTGGGGGTCCTGTGCAGTACCGTTTAGCTATAATACTGCTGCAGTGCTTTCGTGTTTTAGAGGCGTGAGATTGGACACTCAGGTCCTGATATTGTCCTAGTCCACAGAAGTGGATCCAGTTGGTACAGTGTGTTAGCGATGGGCCGGATATAGGTGGCGTACCTTCCCGTGGGACTGTTGCCCCAAGCTGTATGCCTGGCTGACCCTACCCCACTCCGCTGTGCCAAAGATTAACAGCTGTCCTGCTTATTATGTAATTCTTAAAAGTGACCTGCATTCTCATTTAAGGTTGGTGTACGAGGAAGGGATATTGTTGTTCTTGGTGTGGAAAAAAAATCAGTGGCCAAGCTACAAGATGAAAGAACAGTCCGAAAGATCTGCGCTTTGGATGACAATGTCTGCATGGCCTTTGCAGGTACAGGTTGCTCCGGGGTGGTAGGGGGAGCCCTGGTGACCAATTGGTGGGGCTAGGCGGTTGTGACACATGGAGACTGGTTAACGGCGACCCTTGAAAAGAAAGGGATTTGGACATTAAGAGACTCTCCTTGCCGCTAGCACCCCAGGGATGGCGGTTACCACTTTCAGCAGAGCCTTCTTGGGAAGCTTGCAGAGGCCGGTGTGACGAGCTGCCCTGACAGAGCCTCTGCTCGTGTTTCAGGCCTCACTGCTGATGCACGGATAGTCATCAACAGAGCCCGGGTAGAGTGCCAGAGCCACCGGCTGACTGTGGAAGACCCAGTCACTGTGGAGTACATCACCCGCTACATTGCCAGTCTGAAGCAGGTAGGCGCTTCCTCAGGCACTGCTATCGGGGGCCCGTGTGACTTCATCTGGCCCCTACAGCACCGTTCGGCTGATTCTTCTGACCTGGAGCCATCCTGACTCTGGTCTCTAGAGGGGAATATAAGATTTTGTCTTGCTTAGTCTAAGCTACCATTTGTCAAGCAGTTGAGAGGGCTGAAAGGCTCCCCTGCTCTGTGGTAAGATGTGCAATGCAGGACACCAGACACCATGTGGCGCACACACATGCAGGCAAATAGATACAAATAAATCTTTAAAAAAGATACATAATGCATTTTCAGTCCTGGGTGTGTCTTAGAGGAAAAGGGAATGTTACCGTCTGAGTGGCAGGTCACTAAGCAGTTGTGGTTGTCGCTTCTATTCCTTTCAGCGCTATACTCAGAGCAATGGGCGCAGGCCATTTGGCATCTCTGCCCTCATTGTGGGTTTTGACTTTGATGGCACCCCCAGACTCTATCAGACTGACCCGTCGGGCACGTATCATGCCTGGAAGGTAAGTCTGTGTCGAAACAGTGGGGCTTTGGGCATAGGGAAGACTAAAGCGGCATCAGCAGACAGACGGCAACCTCTCAGCATGTTCCGCGTGCACTGCCTGTTTGTCTCACAGTGCTTCTATGAAAGCAACACATTCTACATTGCTGTTTGGCATTGCATCAGAGAGGGCCTAATTGCAATCTTCCCAAGTGTCTCTTGACAATGAAAGAACTTCCATTCTAATGTGCTAATAGCCTTAAAGGTAGGATCAGGGTCAGTGCTACCGCCTCCCACTGCTGGAGAAGCCATCTGCAGGCCGTGGAAGAAGGCAGCCACTGGCCAGCCACATAGACTGGCTCTACTGAGACCCATCTGTTTTAGGCCAATGCCATAGGCCGGGGCGCCAAGTCAGTGCGTGAATTCTTGGAGAAGAACTACACGGATGATGCCATCGAGACAGACGATCTGACCATCAAACTAGTCATCAAGGCACTTCTGGAAGTGAGTATATGTGGGACACCCCAGGCAGAATGGGCCTGCTGTGTCTGAGAGGGGGTGGTGTGACTGGGACAGTCAGGGCTTGCCTTAGGGCAGAACATGAGAGGCTGTGTGCTAAGTCAGGGAGGTAGGAGGCAAGCAGGTGAAGCCACAGTAGCTAGAACACAGGTATTGGGTTCCTTTATGAGGAGTTGCTGTACAGACTGGAGGTTACGTAAGTATCCTCCGCAGGCCTGACCAGATACCCACCTGCATTTGGGACAAAAGCCATAGATGTTCACTCTCCCATCTGGCTGGTCTGGTCATGGACCAAAATTTAGGTCCATGTGAGGTTAGACACACCTAATTAATGCTTTGCTTTCTTCAAGGTGGTTCAGTCAGGTGGCAAAAACATTGAGCTTGCTGTCATGAGACGGGATCAACCTCTCAAGGTAAGTCTCATTTTTGGTGGAAGGGTTCAGATAGAGGGGAGCGCTCCTACCTTACATACCCAGTCCGAGGTTCCAGGTGTGTACAAACACACTATTGATGGCATTTTCATAACCCTCCCCTGGCCCTCTTATGTTGCTTCTCATAGGCCATTGGTTGTACTGTGGCACTACCTCCCCCCCTCTTGACTGTTGTGGAGATGTGCTGTGTTCTGGCGTAGACTGTCAACACCAGCTCTGCTGCTGTCTGGGCCACTCGCCTTATTCCAAGCAGCATAATGCAGGCCTGCAGAAGTAGTTGCACCACCAGGTGGTGGTGTGCTTGCATCTTATGCAGATTAATTATAAATGTGCTTCTTGTGGGGTAGATTCTAAATCCTGAAGAAATTGAGAAATATGTTGCCGAGATTGAAAAAGAAAAGGAAGAAAATGAAAAGAAGAAACAAAAGAAAGCATCGTCATGAAGTGTGCGTTATTTGGAGCGGCTTTCAGCATTGGTGTTGCGGGTCTTCTGTCTGCTTGTCCCGGAGCCCAATAAACATCTACATTTTTTAACTCTGTCTTGTGATGCGAGCACATCATTCGGGTGCGGCTGTAGTTAAGATGGGATCTTTGCATGAGTGCTGGCCTCGTACTCTCAGCATGTCTGCGTAAGGGTCCAACAGACCCAGGGTTCCCAGAGCTTTCTCCCAAATAACTCTGGAGCCATGACTTTCAATGTAGCTAGTTACCTGGTGTGTACAGCTCCTCTGGCCTGGCATGTGAGGCCCAGGTCCCTTACTTATGGCTCAGTACAAGAACACTTGGTGTTCTTTCAAAGGACCTGGGTTTGGTTCCCAGCACTTACATTCGATGACCGGCGGCTGTCTGTAATGCCAGCTCATAAATGTGGTATATACTCAGTCATGCATACATACACAAATCGAACCTTAGGTGGGTAGTGGCACAATGCACCTTTAATCCCAGGGGAGGCAGAGTTTAAGACCAGGACAGCCAGGCTACATAGAAACACAGTCCCAAAAAACCAAAAGAAAAAAAAAAGAGCTCCATAGTAAGACCTCCCATGCCACCCCCAAAACAACTTAGTACTGACTGTCACTGTGTTGTTTTTTTGGCCAGGAATGCACTTCCTCTTGGCTTCTTAACCAGTTTATCATTCTACCAACTGCTTTGGCTTACAGCTACACCCCCACCCCCTTAACCAGTTATGTTAGAACAGAAATTCTTTCGCCAAATTTATGCCTATTGTAACATCTATAAGCTACTGTGTCTTGGCAGAGAAAAACCAATTTAACTAGTTTAAGGTATGTAGCATATATACTCTTATTAGTAAAGGACAGGATATGTCATCAACGGTCCCAAGGCTGCCTGCCAATCCACTGACCACATCTGCCCTTAATACTTGAACAGCCACAGCAAAGCAAGGTGGTTTACACTTACACCAGTTTCCATCCATATTAGACTGGGGTGCCCAGTGAGAACCAGCCTGCCTTCTTCATCTGTGGTCATTGGGTCACTTTTCTGGCATATACCTCCAACACCTAAGTAGCCTAGGTGTGCTCTAGGCCTGACTAGTTCTTGCTTCTGGGTAGGCCTGGACATGACAAAGGCGATGGAGGCAGCATTTGAAGGCTTGAATGTTTATTTAGAGTTTGCATTACCCCAACAGTAGCCCCAGTGCTATGTTCTAGTCTCAGCTATGAAGTCCTAAAAAAATAAACCCAAGCTTTTGCAATGTGACTTCATTAATACAGAACTAAAGCTTTATAGCTATTTTGAAGGGGTTTTGGTTATCAAGGTGCTTATTTTCAACAAAATGCCCTGTCAGTCAGAGGACGCATGCTTATACAGAAAATCTGACCCATTTACTCATGCAACAAGTTTATGTTCCCACCCTCCCTCCACCACCTCCTTTAAAATAAACACACAAGAACTATTTACAATTGAGGAAACAAGGCCAGTGACCTTAAAATAAAAAAAAAAAAAAAAAAAAAGACTGGCTCATTTCAAAGTGGATGAGAATACTTAGGTGCAGCCAGAGTCTTCTAACAATGGCTGACCTGGGCCAGAGGCAGACAAGGGCAGGAAGCCGGGCACACCACATCCCTTGTCTTGGATCTCGACAGCCTCAGTAGCTGTGGAAGCCAGGCTCTACAATGAACTACTTCACTCATCCCTCTGTCAGCCTCCAGCACTGAACATCACTGGTTCATTACACAACATGATCCATGAAACCCCACCCCCCTTCACTGCCCTTGGCCCTCCCACCCCATATGACTGGTTAACCCTGTGCTGGCCCTGCCTGGCTCCTGAGACTTCCCACTTTTAGCAGTTGGGGTACCAGGCCAGCAGCACCAGGGGCCAGATGGGTAGCAGAGACATTTGGACACCACATGTGCCAAATAAAATTTGGTTCTGTTTTAAGAGTCAAAGCTGTCATTTAAAAAAAAAATTACAAAGTGAGGATTGAGCCTTTGCCTATAGAAACCTTTTTGCAAAATACCAAACCTTACAATTAGTCTGTGTGCAACCAAGAAGAAAATGTAGGTCAAGATACCTTCACAAGGTCACCCACAAAATACTTCCCCCAAAACAAGTGGTTCTAATCAGACCACATCCAAGTTTAGGTTGAGTCCAAAGCTAAGTAGCTAAGTAGCATCCAGACTTGGTAAACAAGATCACTTCTCCTGGTGACTGTAGCGTTCATTTCCTTCTGTCCTCTTCAGGACCCTATGAAACGACAAGTAGTCCGTGTGTCCAAAGGTACCTGTCACACGGCTGCCTATTCCCTCACCACCATGGGGACCAGGAGACAGAGGAAGGAAAGAAACCCTGGCCCTCCACATCCCACCCAGCACCGCACAGGACTTCAGCCAGACTTGCTTCTGTGCGCGCAGCTCTAAACACGGTCTAGGGATCTCACCCCACCACCTCCTACCCAGGGATCCAGAAGGTTCCTCGCTTACTTGTACTGCACCCTCACACCCGGCCAGTCCCAGCTCGGTGGGAAGTGGGGTTGCGCCGTGTTGTTCCATTGCCTCTGCCTCCTCGGAATCCACCACGTGAACTGCGGCCCCGAAGGAACCTCCCAGATACCCCAAAGGTCTCAGTGTTTAGCTTCCTCTCTTCTGCCCATGTTGTTCGCCTAGAACTAAACCAAAAGATAAGGTGTGTTAAGATCTAACTGTAAGTTGGGCGGTGGTGGGGCACACCTTTATTCCCAGCATTGGGGAGGCAGAGGTAGGTGGATCTCTGTGCTTGAGGCCAGCCTGGTCTACAGAGCAAGCTCCAGGGACAGCAAGAAAACCTTGTTTGAAAAGGGAAACCCTGTCTTGAAAAACCAAAAATCAGACTGCAGTGGGCAACAACTGATGTTTCTGAAATAGGCTTTGTCCTTCAAATAGCAGTGAGAAGGAAGGATGAGCTACTGCTGTGGTTGCCCGAGGCAGGAGCACACTACCCTGGAGCACACACCTTTATACTGCACACCAGGCCTCCTGTGGCTCAAGACCCACCTCTGTCACAAGAGTAAACAATGGACACAAGTGGATGACAGTGAAGCCCTAAGAGCCATCCAGGTCAGCTTCACACCAGCTCATCTTCAGCCACTGTCACCAGGAGGCAGTGAAGTTCATTGCTTAGAATATATCCAGCACCATCAACCTGCCCATTCTGATGGAAGTCCCGTTCCTCACTCCTACAGCTGTTGCAGAGTCCTGGCCACACCCCTCCTACGATACAGCTGGGCCTAAGTCCTTCTCTTTGCTTGTATCTTTCTTGCTTCAATTGCTCCCCTGACAGTGTGTATGGCTCAGACTACCCAGCTCATTTCCTGTTCTTCATTGGCTGGCAGTGCGCCTAATACTCAACCAACAGGACTCCTAGGTCTTTGTTTGCACACCATGCCTGCTCTGAAGACTACTACTGTACAGTCTGGGGGTGTTCATCCACAGTGCTGACACATATATCACAATCACTGACTTCCAAGACTTGGGAGGACAGGGTGCTCAGCCAATTGCTTACATGTATCTATGCCAGTAGGCAGATGGGCAAGAAAAAACAGCACAAATGGAACTCTTGGAGGCAAACAGGGAGCGCAAGGACTTGACCTCATCAAGTCCAAATCAGGCTAGGGGACAGCCAGAGGCTTTTGGTACTACACCCTAGCTGGCAGAAGTAGACCCAGCTGGGACTCCAGTACTTATCATGTAGAAATGTAAGATCCCAAAACACCCACCCAGAATATAAACTCAAACCTCAGACTTAATGTTAGTACATTTTAGTCGTGTGCTTCTAGGACTTACAAACCAGTCATCCTTCCCACAGTGCACTCAGGTCCTGACCTTGTTTTGAGTTCAGAAGAAATGTTGTCAAAGAAGGACTTGGATTTGTCATAGTAACAGTTGGGCCCCAGAAGATCTTCCTCAGTAGGAGTCTCTTCACTCTGGGTCATCACAGTAGGGTCCTTCTCTTCCCCCTTCTCAGCTTTGTCTTCTACAAAGAAAAGCAGGGCACAAAGGTCCAGAGACAAACACTACCCAATGGTTTCCTGTTGGGGGTGCACTCAGGCCCAGAGGATGGTTTCCTGTTGGGGGTGCACTCAGGCCCAGAGGATGACCTAAACATTTCATGCCAGAGACCCTTTCTTCTCACTGCGAGTCACAAGCTTCACAATCCCCGCCCCAACCCTTCCTCATCTCATCTCATTCTAATTTTCACATTGGTCAGGACCCCACGTCCTTCCAGAGCAATGCCAGCCATCATGTCTTAACATGCTCTAGGGAATCTCTTGGGGGCTAACTTTCAAGTGAATCAGACCTTTAAAATTCAGCTTCTTCTTAAATTCTTTATCGAGCTCTTCTCGGTTGAACTGGGCATTTGCACTCTCAAAATCAAAGTCACCTTCAAACTTGATTGTGTTTTCCTTAACATTAGTTGGACGGTTTTGCCCTCTGGAACGATTTCTTGTTCGCCTATTGCCTATGTGGAGAAAGAAAAAAAAAAACCCAGCATGGCTGAAGTCACCAACTTATTTCCAGTTTGAATTCAAAAGTAGCTCACAGACATACTGAAGACAAAGGGGGCACAGCTCACTAAGGCCCACCTTAGCCCCAAGTCCCCAGCACAGGCAAGCAAAGTGGCCCTGCTGCTCGTGGCCACGGAGTTACCTGACCGCCTCCGTGGAGGTCTTCTGTTCTCATCATTCACCTGCCCTTGAGTGTGCACAGGTGCCGACTGGACTACATCTAAGGTGCAAAGGGAAAAGTGAGGCAAAGCTCCCGCTGAAGCCAGAACCCAGCCACCAAAGCAGAGTACCACCACCACATGCAGCCTATGGGACTAGGCTGCCTGTCCACACAGCCCAGTGAGTTCTACACTGGGAACATATAGCAAACGGCAGGGGGATATCAAGTGCAAGTACCGATGGCAGTCTTGCTGCTTGGCTGAGCCTGGCGACCATTGAGTTGTGTCCCCGAGGTGACCTTGGTGGGTAAGAGTTTCTTAGCATTCAAGTTATCAGCAGAACTAGTCTGGACAGCCTGTTCCACCATGGG